AGAATGATGAATAGAATATGTTTCGGGTACATCCATGTCGTCGCAGTGTCATGTCAAATTTATATAAAATTAAATACAAGTATTTTCAAGATTGCGATGGGTAAACATTTGAGAGATAAATATGCTTAATAAATCTTATAAACACTTTATAAATATTTTCAAGATTAAAATGGTAATAATTTTTGACATAAACTATTAAAAATATTTTTTAAATAGAATTTACTGTCAATATTAATACTTGATATACTATATATTACGTACCTAACAATAATGGTAGATACACATCAAGTTATTTTTATAGAATTTTTATTTACAAAATTGTGTAGTAATATACTCAGTAAATTATAAAAACTATTTTAGTTATTTTATAACAATTTGAATTCATACGAATAGTTTTAATGTAAATGATTGGATGATGTATACTATGATTATATTTATAATAAACCTACAAATATATTATAAATGTCAATACAGCGTACACCTTAAATCAACATGCTTATTTCCACAGACGTATTTAAGAGTGGATAGGAGGCTTGGACTTCAGATAGTATATTTTGAAGAGCATTTTGATATAATACGGTACATAAGGTCATTCGGGTGATGAAAAAAGTAATAATACTAATACGAGTACAATTATTATTGTGGATTTCATTTGTCACAAGACATTCATTGATAATATCAGGAGTCAAGAAAAGAGTATACTTATACTATACTTTAAAATAAACTTTTTTTAAAACTTTAGTTTGAGAATTGAGATACACAGAAAATATGATACAATAATAAGCTATTATGGCCAAAAATATTTCGTAGACATGTTTAAACGGTCGTACTATTAATAATAATCTTCGTAACGTTTATCGATTAATGTACTCGTTATTTTTTACAAATATTCCAAATTTCCTAAAGAAATTAGGTTATACCAAAATAGGGTACAAAATTCTTAAATACATCTCTGAATAGAAACAAAATAGAAATTAAACATACACATACACCAGTGGTGCCTAACCCACGGTCCACGATCCACATATGGTCCACAAAGATGTTCTACGTAGCCCGTTACATTTTTTTTTTAATAAAACAAAATATCTAAAAAAAGTAAAATTATAATACATTTTTTTCTTCTAAATTTATCAATTTTATTCTCAAGTAATCTCAATTAGAAATTTCACGGCATATCCGTGCACTTAAAAGAGTGCACATAATATTTGATGGCCCATTCTAAGATAATTGTTTATTAAAGTGGCCCATCGAAGACATTGGACATCACAGGGCATACATAGACGCACATATTCATATTTCCTTAATTAGTGAGAAGACATAATTATATTTTTTATGTTACTACAATATTATGTTTGATAATTTACCATAAATATTTCAAGTAATACGTGGCGTGTATAGAAAGTTTGGTTACCCAAGTAGAGATCATGTGAACGATTAAAGATTCTAAGATAAAATAAAATATTAACGCGTGTCCACATTGATTGTTATTGATAATTAAATAAAATAGTTTTTGTCATTTACATAATGTCTTATGTTATATTTTTAAAAGTATAACATAATTAATTAATGCGACGGCGAAAGAAAGTTGTTCGAGGTTTTCAAACGATTTGCGCGTTGAGTGTATGATCACGTATAAACAAAAACAGTTAAAATATTTTATTTTAAATATAAATTTAAAATATTTATTTACCTAATTATACATTTTTAATGTACTTAGTAACTTAGTTTCTTGTGCAATGATTTTCTTTCATTGATAATAACTGTTAATACCAGCGTGATTAATTATCATTTCAAATATAGTTTCATTTCAAATAATATTATATGCACTAATTCAATTGTGATATAGAAAACTATAAAATAGTTTTTATAATATTTTGTTTAGTAATTGCTCTAAAAACATTTACGTGGTCATATTTATACAATTCTGTATTAGAAGTGATTAGAAAAAGCTTGATTGATTTGTAACGGTTGATCAATAACGTATAACCAAGTTATTATGTGTATTGCCATTTTTAAATATATTATTATGTCTAAAATGATAGAAAAACATTATTCGGTCTCTGTCGGTGTACTGCGATTGATAAAATAATTTATGTATCGCGTATTTATACAAATGTACATATTTTTAAAGTCCTACAGCGCAGCAGAAAATCAACAATGAATGGTGGACTCTTGTCGCTCTTATCTCGTCGAGGTCGAGATTAAAAAAAAATTGGCTGGACCATGCAGGTCATATACCTGCAAAACTGAAACGGAATCATACATGTTATAACATGTATACATTATGTAAAATTATATAAAAAAACCGATATTGTCGAAAGAACATCTGTCTATATTTTAAATATAATATCTTAATGAAAAATCCTATTAAAATCGTATGGTATATATTAAAGCTTACATTTTTTAATTGTTTCATCATTGTATACATTGGTTTTCTTATATACTTAATTTTACAATATTAAAGTATTATTATTATTATTTTTTTGTTACGAGAACCAGAAAAAATATCGTAATTTAAAGGGTAACATATATTGGATATATCACGAAAAGAACAATCGGTAAAAATACAATTCCGAAATTGATAAAATAGAAATCAGTGATACAAAAAGCAGTTATCAAACGCTCAACACATTTATTATATTGTTGTTCATTTGCGATAAATTAATAATATACGTTCAAGTATCTCGTATATTTTAACTGGATTCTTTTATTATTTTTACTTTAAGTCGCTTATACGTTCCCGTTAATAACCATAAGAATAATCGAATTTTACGTATTATAGTAAAACAAATATATATATTTCTATCATGGCCTATGCAATGTTTTGCAGAAAAAGCTAACGGTAAATAATATTGTATAATTAGAATGTAATAATCATATTTAAAACGTGTGTTTTTATTTTTATAAGAACGCAATAATAAAATAGGTCTACAAATGATTGAGAGGGACGATGACGTCGTATTTCACAATACGCATTCGCCCGGCAGGACGTCTTCTTCCTTAATACGCATTCGTATAATATTATGTATACACTATGCCGTATATGTTCGTATCGCGGTAGGCGAGTGTGTAACGGCATTTTTGAATAATGTCTACAACAAATATCGCAATTATACGTACACGCACGTTATTATACGTGTGCATTGTGATATTTTACCGGTGGTGTTACCACCGTAAATTAAAATATTATTATTATTTCTGATGGCAAAAAAAAAACATTTTTGATAAAAAATTAACGAAGATGTCGCATTTACCAAACGTTTTACCCACTTGATCAATATGAACGTTGTTCCTGATTTGACATAGCATATCATTATAATATTCATGCGCCTACTTACCTGTCACAATCCGTACGTTTATTATTACGTATTATAATGTACTATTTGCATACGCGCGGGTACCGACTACCTACGATGTATGGAAAATGTTCTTAAAGCGTATGAGAAACGTTAAACGTCATTATATTGAAGATTAGAAGTTAGCATACATTCACGACAGTAACAGACTTAGGATTACTTTTAAAATTAAAATAACAAAAAAAAAAAATAATAATAATAAAATTATATTTATGTATATACGAGATTATTTTATTTCATGCTCAGAATTTCGAAAATCTCTTAAATAATATATATAATTGCCTATAACGCATTAAATAATGCTTATATATCACATAATGTATTCATATTAATACGTAAACTGTGCATAATATTAATAGTAATTCAAACTCGGCTACACGTTATACAGTGAAGTTCAAATTCAGCCATTCTAACATTTTTTTCTCAGTAATCGAACAAGTTCAAGATGTTTAGGTGTATAATACATGAAATTATCAGTTTTGATTTAATATAATAGTTTTTTTTTCTTTTTCGAGTATGTTATATACTAAAATAACGTCTTTTTAGACGTTTTTATATATTATTTCACTTCACGACTACGCGTCGTTACCGAAATTATAATTACTCGATAAAACTGTTCGTCCTGTTATTTATGAACACATATGACGGCGTAGGTACACCGTTAATGTACGAACAGTATAAAAGTACGATTTATTTTTATTTTATTTTTTTTTCTACGAGAATCATCATTTTTATCATTATAAAAGAGCGTATACCATCGCACGCGAGAGGCGGACGAACGGCGTACAAACGGACACTGTTATTCGAGCAACGATCCGGATTTATTATGTTCACCGTGCAATATATACATATAAATGGATGGATAAATAAATTATCTACTGCACTTTATGTGTTTACGAGTTCACGTACCTATCCGCATACGCGCGTGTATAACTTTTTAGAAGTATGCTCGTGCAGACAGTACATACATTACAAACGCGATGTAATCTTACTATCGATAAATCACGCCGAAGCCAACGCGACATTCGCAAAACATTATACATCATCATTATCATTTATTAGACGAAAATATTAACGTCTAGCCGCGTCTCCGGTTTCGCGACGAATGTGAAAGATCCACGGCCCCCGGGTCCCGTCGATTTCGTACCCTCGCGCTTACCAATGTGAAATATGTGTATTAAAAAAAAAAAAAATGTTTACCGCAAAGCGTATAAATTACTTACTCGAATGGCTCAACTATCCCACGATGAAGGTGCACGCGAAAGTTTACGAAAAATTAACGTACAAAAAATCCGATAGTACGGTGCGATCGAGTTTGCGTAAGAATTATCGATCAGCGAACATCTCGCGCGTTGTATTACGATTTTAGTTGCGTAACGTATTTTCTTCTTTCATTGATTCGAAAACAAAACTACAGCTGTCCTACGAATGCTAAGCTCTGTGTTAAACTGTCCTAGACGATGCGCGCTGAAGAGGGTTTTCAGTTTTTCACTACAATCAAGGTGTACGTGATCGGAGTTCGTAACCGAAGAGTAGTAGTGCTATCGAAACGACGGGATCCTCGGAATTCCCTCGGCACCCCCATGACCTGTTGACGTTACCGTTAACCAGGTAGTGCAAAGCGGACACCGATGATTGACGTACCTTGACCGGATGGTGGTACGCGTCCACGGCGAGGGCGGCGTCTGGGTCCGGCAGAGTCCGCGGCGTTGACGGTGGCTGTCGTGACGGCGGTACCTGCGGTCGTTTGTTGTAACGTTTGCCGTGGTGATGATGGTGATGATGGTGATGACGATGATGGTGCCGGTACCGTCGTATCTCGTCGTCTTTGGCGGCCACGGTGGTCGGGTCCAACGGCATTTGCGGCGGCGGCAGTGGTGGCGGCGGCGGTGGTGGTGGTGGCGGCGGCGGAGATGGCGGCGGTCCGAGATGTAGCCGGGTCGGTGCGTCTGCCGACGACGACGGTGCTACCGTTGCAGCCGCCGCCGCCGTCGCCGTTGCCGTCACCGTCACCGCCGTCGCAGCCGCCGCCGCTCTTACGCTCCGTCGGTCGGTCGGTCGCGCGCCCTCGCTCGAGGTCAACAACCGGTTTAGTGTGCACGCGCTCGCGTCCGTGCCGTCGGACACGTAAATTATTTATAAAATCACAATACGTTATGTTGTTGTTGTTACCGTTTTTTTTTTTTTTTTTT